CAAGCCCCATTCCCTTCTGGCCTTATAATGTTACCTAGTTGGGTCATGAAACATCTGCAAGAAAACCACCAAACTCAGTGAGCAGCAAGGACCCCTCCCTCCTCCTTCTCCTCCTCCTCCTCTTCCTCCTTCTTCTCCTCCTCCTCTTCCTCCTCCTCACAAGCCCCATTCCCTTCTGGCCTTACAATGTTACCTAGTTGGGTCATGAAACGTCTGCAAGAAAACCACCAGGCTGAGAGAGCTCCAAGGACCCCTCACTACTCCTACTACTTTTCTTCCTCCTCCTCCTCCTCCTCCTCTCAAGCCCCACTCCCTTTTTGCCCTGATAATGTTCCCTAGTTTGATAATGAAACGTCTGCAAGAAAACGTCCAAGCTCAGAGAGCACTAGGGACCCCTCAGCTCAACCTTGATCTACAAATAATCTCTTCTATTGGCATTTTTAAAATGCATAGACTTCCACTCCCAGGATATTCTGGCAGTTGATGTCTGCCCATTTTAAAATGTTTTAAGCTTGAGCAACGCTGCTCAAGGTCAGAATCCTGTTTCCTAAGGTTTGGATCTAAGGCAGGGTGTTCCACTCTTCTGAAGCCTGTTTTGTCTCCCGCGTCCAACCAGATCGGGGAGGAGATGAGCCAAAATACCATCATCAAGCAATACCTGGAAAAACAGCAGGAGCTGCTGAGGCAGCGTCTGGAACGGGAAGCTCGGGAGTCTGCCGACCTAGAAAGTAAGTGGAGTTTGCCCCATGTCCTCCCTCCCCTCCTTCTTTTAAGCCATAATACATGGGGGAAACCCAGCTTGTTTTTGAACCAAACTCATCTTCATTCTTCTTCTGCTTTAAACTTCCTTCTGAGCTCTGTCCGATCAAGAAAAAACATCTTCGGTAGCCAAGCAACTAAAAATTGCCTTGCAACAAACTGACATGTTATTTCATTGATCGATCAATCGATTTGCATCTCACCTTTATTATTTTTACAAATAAGGTGGCCAACATATCCAACACACCTTCCTCCTTTTTTCCTCACAACAACAACCCTGTGAAGTGGGTAGGGCTGCAAGAGAGGGACTGGTCCAAAGACATCCAGCCAGTTTTGATGCTTAAAGCAGGACTAGAACTCCCACTCTCCTGGTGATTGACCCAAAGTCACCCAATCAGCTTTCATGCCAAGGCGGAACTAGAACCCAATGTCTCTTGGCGATTGGCCCCAAGTCACCCAGCCAGCTTTCATGCCTAAAGAAGAACGAGAACTTATAATCTCCTGCTTTCTAGCCCGATGCCTTAACCACTAGACCAAACTGGCTATTCGTTTTTCTTTTCTTTTACCTTTCCCTTTCTTGTCTTGCCCTTTCTTCTCTGTTTTGTTTTCTTTTTTCCCCCTTTCCTTTCCTTTCCTTTCCTTTCCTTTCCCCTCCCCTCCCCTCCCCTCCTTCCCTTCCCTTCCCTCCCCTCCCCTCCCCTCCCCTCCCCTCTCCTCTTTCCTTTTTGTCAGATTGGGCTAAGGGAAGGGACTGACCGAAAGGCACCGTGAAAGTTTCTGTGGCTAAGGGAGGTCTGGACCCTGGATCTCCCTGGTGCTAGTATAATACCTTCACTGCTACCTATATCTAGTCCTTGACTTAACAATCATTCCTTTAGCGTTCCATTCAAAACCATTCAAAGTTACAACAGCCCTGAAAAAATGGTCTTCACGCTTATAACCCTTATAGCTCTGCTTAGAAACAGACATGCTGGTCTCAACTGTTGTCACCACCTGCCCTAATTCTTCCTTGGAGAGCCTGTCTTAGCATTAAAACAGCTGATGAGAATCATCCTTCAGCTGAGAGATTATTTTTTAAGAAAATGTATGTGAATGCCCAACTCTCTGTGACTCCAGCTTCCTCATTCCTCTATATATTCAAGTTGGACAGTGATTAACATTTATATGTATTTATATGTATGGGTGTAGAAATATAATATGCATGTATGTCTATGTCTGCATACATGTATATATGTATCTCTCTCTGTGTATGTCTCTGTCTCTTTCTCTTTATGTCTCTTCTCTATCTCTATTTTTGTGTCTCTTTCTCACTGTCTCTTTCTTGCTTTCTCTCGCTGTCTATGTCTCTGTCTCTTCTGTCTCCCCTCTCTATCTTTGTGTCTCTTTCTCTCTGTCTCTCTCTCACTCTCTGTCTCTGTCTCTCTTGTCTCTGTGTCTCTTTCTCTGTTTCTGCCTCTCTATGTCTATATCTCTTTATCTTTCTGTCTCTCTTCTCTCTATGTATCTTTGTCTCTCTCTGTCTCTGTCTGTTTCTTTCTTTTTGTCTCCTCTCTTTGTGTCTCTTTCTCTCTCCCTCCCTCTCCCTCTCTGACTCTGTGTGTGTGTGTCTGTCTGTCTGTCTGTCTCTATATGTATGTATGTATAGCATATCTAAACAGGTAATCCTCGACTTACAACCACAACGGAGGCCAAAATTTTGGTTGTTAAGTGAGACATTTGTAAGTGAGTTTTGCCCCATTTTGCCACCATTGTTAAAGTGAATCATTGCTGTCAATAAGTTTGTAACCTGCTCTTTAAGCAAACCCAGCTTCCCTGTTGACTTTGCTTGTCTCAAATGGGGATTGGCATGATCTCAGGAGACAGTAACGGTCATAAGTCTGAACCCATTGACAAGCATCTGAACTTTGATCATGTGATGGTGGGGATGCTACAAAGGTCAGTAACTCTGAAAAACGGTCCTGTCACATTTTTCCGGTGCCTTGGTAACTTTTGCATAGTCAATAAATGAACTATTGTAAGTCAATTACCTGTATGTGTGTTAGGTAAGTATACACTTTTGAGAGTGGACAACAGAATTTCATTTTTAATGTGTGCTTCTGTGCCCACGGGGAAAAAAAAGACAGTAAAGTTCTGAGCTGGAAATATACCATATTTCCCCAAAAATAAGACCCTGTCTTATATATTTTTTTGCCAACAAAAAAGGCACCAGGTCTTATTTTGGGGGGATGTCATCCACTGATTAACCTCACTTGCGCGTGTCGCCCCCGGTTTTGCTGGAACTACTATTTCTGCGGCTGGCAAGGCTTTCCTGAAGGACTCTGCAGCCCATAAGAGAGCGCCGGATCGATCCAGAGCTTTGTTATCATCTACAGAGGCCTTCAGGAAAGCCTTACCGGCCTTGCAGAAGAAATGGGCCAGCAAGGCAGGTGTCGGGGTGTGCAAGGCCTGGCTACAACTGTCCAAAGGTAAGTAATAGGGCAGCTCCATCCCCCCATTCCCACCCTAGCTTAATTTTTACCTATGCACTCTGGAGTGGGTGGGATCTTAATTAGGGCTTATTTGGGGGGGGTAGGGCTTATATTGGGTGCATGTTAGGAATGATAGTCACTTAACTGTTGGGTTGGCAATATATAAACCAGGAAAGTCATTTAATACTGTTGTATCTTTAAGAGAATGCTGTAATTGTGATTGGCTGAGGTTCCTCCAACAGCCATTAGATGGAGCCAAAAACCTGGTTTGTTCTCTTCTTGCATTTTCCCTGTTGCCTTTTGCCTGATTGTCGTTCTGCTTGGATTGCTGTGAGTCTTGCAACTGTTAGCAAACTCCGTTTACTGAACTTTGTTTATGATACTGGACTTCATTTTTGGATTATCCCTGGACTGATTGTATTGAATACTACCTGCTTTAACCGTGTATGATTTGGACTGTTTGTTGGACTTTGTTTACCCGTTTACTGGAAGTAAAACCTACATTTTACTGTTCAGTGTATCTGTATGCTGGTTGTGTGTTATTCAACACTACTCTCAGTACGTTTCCCTGAGTACACTCATTCTCCTAATGGGGAATACCTCAACAGTGCACATGTAAAATCAAGTTATGACTTACTTTCAGGGTAGGTCATATTTTCGGGGAAACGGGGTAATTCAGCAGCATAGTTGTTAATTGAATCCGGCTTCCCCGTTGATTTCTCTCATCAGAAGGTTGCAATGGGATCGCGTGACCCCGTGACAGTGAGTGTCATAAATATGAACCGGTTTGCTAAACACAGCTGAATTTTGATCATGTGACCACGGGGAATGCAGCAATGGTTGTAAAGGGTGAAAAATGGCAATAAGAGACTTGTTTTCAGTGCCATTGTAACTTCATATGGTCACTAAACAAAAACCAAGCATGGCCTGAAGAGAAATAATTTTTTGCGATCCCCTCTTGCAACCTTCCAACGAGCAAGGTCAACAGGGAAGCCCATATTCATTTAACGACCGGGTTACGAACTCATTGACCACAGTGATTCACTTAGCCGATGTGGCAAGAAAAGGCATCAAATGGGGGCAAAACTCGTTTAACAAACGTCTCACTCAGCAACAAAAATCTTGGGCTCAATCCTGATTGCAAGTCGAGAATCACCTGTAAGGTACAGGTAGTCCTCAACTTACAACAGTTCATTTAGCAACCATCATGGTTGCAAGTCGAGGACTACCTGTATTTTATGAGTGTAAGGCCCCCCCAGAGTTACCCCATAGTAAGATGAGCGGCCAATAAATTTTATATAAGAAAATAATAAACGTTTTGTTCTTTCACCAGGCAAAAGCTACATCATCTCACGCAAGAGGGAAGAATCGGATGAAGAGGAAACCCAGAAACCAGAACAGCATCTCTCTCGCGTCAGGCAGGTAAATGACAGGAGCACAGGTGGGACGGGAGGGTTCAGCCAGGTCAGAGTCCCATGTGTCTCTGAAGAGGGAGGTGGAAGGGGCCGATGGGCAAGGTGATCGGAAGGAACAGGTGAGAGGGTCTCCCCATGTTTGAATAAACATTTTTCTGGCCACATTCGGGAAGCCATTGGGTGATTTCCTGATTATTATTTTTTTCATCCTTTTGTGCTTTTCTACAGCCAAGAAGGAGGGCTTAAAGCACCTGTTTTCCCTTAATTCCTCTTTGAAAATAGGTGACAATTAGCACCACTTGTTATTTGGGGTGGGTGAGTGGCTGCTGGATGTTGGCAGTTTGGGCTGCGGGGGGGGATTGTTGGCTGCTAAAAGAAGCTTCATAAATGGTCCCTTCAACGCATCATAGAATAGTATAGAATACAATAAAATAGAAAATAATAGAAAATAGAACAGAATAGAAAAAAAAATAGAACAGAATAGAATAGAATAGGGAAAGGAGTGGACTGGAGTGGAATGGAATAGAATGGAATAACAGAGTTGAAGGGGCCTTGGAGGTCTTCTAGTCCAACCCCCTACTTAGATTGGAAACCCTATACCATTTCAGACAAATGGTTCTCTTCTTAAAAACTGGTGTTGGAGCATTCACAACTTCTGGAGACAAGTTGTTCCACTGCTGTAACTGTCAGGAAATTTCTCTTTAGTTCTAGGTTGCTTCTCTCCTTCATTAGTTTCCATCCACTGCTTCTTGTCCTGCCCTCAGGTGCTTTGGAAAATAGGTGGACACCCTCTTCTTTGTGGCAGCCCCTCAACTATTGGAAGATGCTATCATGTCCCCCCTAGTCCTTCTTTTCATCAAACTAAACACCCCCAGTTCCAGCAACCGTTCTTTGTATGTTTTAGCCTCCAGCCCCCTCATCATCTTGATTGCTCTTCTCTGCAGTCTTTCTAGAGTCTCCACATCTTTTGGGGGGGCTCTGTCATTGTACAGGGGAATGATTGAGTCTGTCATCTGCACCTCTGTAACGGTATGGTTTGGCATTGCAACCAAACAAGACAAAGACTTCAACGGATAGTTAGGACAGCAGAAAAAAAAACCATTGCAACCACCCTGCCTTCCATTGAGGACCTGTATATTCTATGGGTCAGAAAGAGGACTGTAAAAATATCCCCTCACATCCTGGACATAAACTGTTCCAACTTCTTCCCTCGAAACGACGTTATATGGCATTGCACGCCTAAAACAACTAGACACAAGGAGAGTTCCCCAACCCTCCTGTGTCATCACTCTGCTAGACAACTCATTCCCACAACACTGAGAAACTGCTTAGTAGGGCTTTGTTATTATTGTCTTTCTCTTCTTTCCTACAACCTGTTTCCTTATCGTATGACAACTTTGTTGCTTCTAGCTTACAATTTATATGACAAGTAGTCCTGGACTTACAAAACTTCGTTTAGTGACTGTTCAAAGTTACAATGGCACTGAAAAAAGGGACTTAAGACCATTTTTCATACTTAGGACCTTTGCCACATCCCCTGTTGTAAGTCAAGGATTACCTGTATATTTTTAGCCATGTTGTATGACTGTAGTTAGTAGTATTATCCTTCTCATCTTCTCTACTACCCCTTCTTATCAGTATCATTATTATGATTGTTGTTACTCTGCTGTTTTGCATATACAGGTTAGTCCTCAACTTACAACAGTTCATTTAGTGATGGTTCAAATTTACAACATCAATGCCAAAAGCAACTTAGGGCCACTTTTCGAACTTACAACCATTGCAGCATTCCCCACGGTCACCATGATCAAAATTCAGACGCTTGGCAACTGACTCATATTTATGATAGTCGCAGCGTCCTGGGTGGGTCACGTGATCCCCTTTGCCGACTGTCTTCTGAGCAAAGTCCATGGGGAAGCCCGATTCACTTAACCGTGTTACTAATTTACCAACTGCAGGGATTCGCTTAACCCCTGCAGCAAGAAAAGTCATAAAATGGGGCAAAACTCACTTAACAAATGTTTTGCTTAGCCACAGAAATTTTGGCGTCAATTGTGGTCGTACATTGAGATCTAGCTGTACGCTGAGAACTTTTGCATCCAAGACAAATCCCTTGTTGTGTCTAATCACACTTGTCCAATTACCATATTTTTTGAACTATAAGACACACTTTTTTTTTTGAACAAATTTTATTGATTTTCCAAAACAATACACAGACAAACAAAACATAAAATATAATGACATAGGAATTTTTTTTTCCTTAAAAAGCCAATACAACAACTTATTTAAAGACAGAATTATTCCAAGTTATCACATTTCCAAACAAGCACAGTTTGATATATATATTTACCTTATCTGTTCATCTTCATATCTTATCCCAAACTTCTCTTTGAAGACACACTTGTCTCCCAAAAGTGGGTAGAAATGTCTGTGTGACTTATGGAGCAAATATTGCTGAAGCCTCGTGCACCCACTGGCCCCCACCCTTCGGCTGTTTTTGCCCTCCGCACATCTGATTTTTGGCCCTGTTTTCAACCTGTTTTTGGCCTGTTTTCCCAGGGCGTGCAGAGGCCAAAAACGGGGTGTGTGGAGGCCAAAAACTATTTTTTTTCTTCTTTTCCTCCTCTAAATCTGGGTGCGTCTTATGGTCAGGTGTGTCTTATAGTCCACAAAATATGGTAATACTGCTTTATTGGCCAAGTGTGATTAGACACGAGGAATTTCCCAAACCTTTCCAGATTTGCGAATCGGTGGGACAGGGGATTGTTCTGCTTGAACAGACGGCAAGCACATGCATTCAGACCTGGTTTTGTGAGAGTCAGGGATGTGCGGATGCCACTCACACAAATGTAGTGTGCTCATCCATGGCTCATGTAAGTAGGGATACACCCATCGCTTCTGTGGCCCAGTTGCAAACAGGCTCACACCTCAATAGCGGGCCTCAGCCTCCGGATTGGGGACCCCTGCCATAAAGTAATCTATTCTACCCTTTTCCTTTAGGCCAGAGCAGTGAAGACTGCAGGAGGCGGCCATGCGTTGGTGAGCGAAGAGCGGGAGACTTCCCTTCGGAGTCAGAGAGCTGCCCAGTGCGTGCCTGTCAAAGAGGAGGAGGAGGAAGAGGAGGAAGAAGAGGACGAGGAAGAGGAGGAAGAAGAGGAGGAGGAAGAGGAAGATGCGCCACCTTTGCTGGTTGGCCAGAAGCCCGTGAGGCCTGAGGAGCCAGGCATGTCAGCTCCCCAAGAGACGGGCATGTTCCAAGCTTCCCTGCCCATCATCCTGCAAGCCCAGCAAACGGAGGCTTGCTCTCAGATGCCAGACAGCCCAAGTGGCAAAGCCACCGTACCAGTCCTTGCACACTTGCAGAGGTCAGAAGACGAGGAGGCTCAGCCCCAGGCGACAGACCCCGGGGAAAAGCAACAGGCGGCTCTAACCCTGGTGGAATCCCCCGTGAAAAAGGATCCTCTCCCGGATACCCCAAAGGAGGTTGTACCCAAGTTACCCGAAGCCATAAAAATGGAGACTGAGGAAGACCCGGGTCTTCCGAAGGAGCCGAGTTTGACTGAAACTCCCCAGGAGAAGGAGGAGGAGATAATGGAACAGGGCAAGACCCCTGTGGCTGTTGTCTTGCAGAAGGAGGGCGAACCCCAGAGCAAGGGGACCCCAGAAGCAGCGGCAACCCAGGCACTGCGCAGGCTAGAGGAAGAGGCGTCTGCTGCCACTGCGGCGCTAGTACAGACCTCTCTGTCTCCCCCACAGCTGACTGAAGCACAACAGTCACAACAGGATCCACGGGGGGACAAACCACCTCCACCGCTCCTGACCAAGGAAGCCCTTGCGGGACTCGCTCCCACAGAAGAAGAAACCCCTCCTCAGCTCTCTCAGCCGTCTCCCCCCGCTCAGGAAGCTTCAGCTGTGGCCAGCCTGGGAGCCTCACTGTCCCCCTTGGTGCTCCCGCCACACCAACCCTTATGGCCTGGCAGCTCCCGCTCCTCCTCATCCTCCAGCTCCTCCCACTCCTGTTCTCATTCCCATTCCCTGGGCAGCTCACCGCTCTGCTTCCAGGCTAGGAGGACCTGCTCCGCTTCCTCTGAATCACCTGCTCAGAAACGACCAGCTTTGGAATCACAATCCTGCTCCGGCTCGGAGCAGCATAGCAGTTCGGGCTCCCGGTCCCGTTCCAGCAGTGGGGGCAGCAGCAGCAGCAGCAAGGTGAGTGGATTCAGGGGTGGCGTCTTTACAAACCAAGTCGGGAAATTTTACAGGTCGTCCTTGACTTAAAACAATTCCATTAGTGACCGTTCAAAGTTAACAATGGCCCTGAGAAAAAGTGACTTATGATTGTTTTTGACACCATTGCAGCATCCCCATAGTCACATCATCAAAAAACTAGGTAGGTAGGGAGAGACAGATGGATGGACGGATGGACGGACGCATGACAGAGATTAGATAGATGACAGATTAGATGATAGGTAGCTAGGTAGGTAGATGACAGAGATTAGGTAGGTAGGTAGACATGACAGATATGGACGGATGGATGGATAGATATAGGTAAATGATAGGTTAGATGATAAGGTTGTTCTGACCTAGGCTTCACAAAATCATGAAGCAGACTCCTCGTCCTGACAAAACCCATTTTATTTAGGCTAATGTGAATTCCTCTCATTCACATCCAGCAATGTCCCAGCAAACAGTCTTTCAAAAGTGATTTACAATCATGGACCTTATCAGGCTTGGAGAGTTGCCAGGCCAATAGCTTCCAAGCGCAACGCTGTGGCAGAAAATACTTAGCAAGGAGTCAGGAACAAATCTTCACCCTAATTAAATGAACTAATTGTCTCCTGCAAACCCCACTCCCCTTTCGCTCCTCTTTTATACTCTAGGGGAGGGGCCAGTCACTGTCCACCTGTGGCTTTAGTCCCAAGTCAACCCTTGTTCCTTAGCTGTTCCCTTCTGGCAGCTCTGTGCATGCGCACACTGGGAACAGGCTCCAGCTGTTCTTCTGCCCCACTGATGTCTGACTTGGAAGGCAGCTGATAACTGTCAGACGGCCCTGGCCCCATCTCTGCCTCTGACACAGAGCACTCGTCTGAACCTTCCCCAGACTCCAGGACAAGGCCCATATTCCTCCCCAACCTCCTCACTGTCTAAGTCTGCTGCCAGCTCTGCTGGCAGACCTCAACATAAATAGACATACATACAGATAGATAGAATAACTTTATTGTCACTTTGAATGTCCGCTAATTGGCATACATTAATATGAAATTTTGTTACATCCAGCTCTCAGGGTCGCCACCTCCAATATACACCACATAAACATGACAGAATAAATAAATAAGTACAAAATGACTGTCAGCGTTCCAGCAAACCTCCATTTTTCCTTGTAAGGCTGCAACAGGTCAGGATGGGTGATACTCTATTTTAGCTGCTTAGGACTGAGTCTGTGCAAAAGGCTTATTAGCCTAGCTCCGCCCACTCTGGGTAGCTCCTCCCAGTTTCTACTCAGTCCTTAGCAGAGTAGGACGCAAAGTATTGCCTCTCCTGCCTTTGGAGGTTTTTTGAGTCCAAAGGCAGCCTTGCAAGGAAATTTCTTCTAACAGAGAAAAAAAGCCTCCGTTTACATTCCCCCTTTGAATTTGGTACTCCGCTTCAGAGCTGATGTTCAGGAGCCGTCAAACAGCTGAGGACTGCTCCAGAGGTCTGGAGCAGCCTGCAGGGGCCACGGGGGCCTTTTTTCAGCCCTCCAGGGCGAAGATTGGAGGTTTTTTCTTTGGTCAGAGGACTGTTCTTCGAGGGCAGGCAATTCCGCCCTCGTTACAGAGCCGCGGAGCCGTTTAGGCTTGCTGCGGTGAAGGAAAAGCCGTCTCTTTGTCGGGCGGCTTTCTGGAGAGTGGGGGCATCGGCCACGCTCTATTTGGAGCCGCAGGGTCGTTCCTTCCCCCGCGGTGAAGATTAGCAGCAGCTGGATAGCGCTGCTAAGTTTGGGGCTGCATCGGAGAGCAGCGAAGCTTAGAAGAAGGGACCCCGTGGCCAGAAGAGGCCGTATGCAGAAGGCGGTGGCCATTTTGGAAGAGCCTCGTGGCCAGCAGTGGCCATTTTGGCAAGGCCTCGTGGCCAGAAGGGGCCATTTTGAAGATTACAGGCCGGCAGCAGCCATTTTGAAGAGGCCTGAAACCTTCTTCCTGCCACTTCTGCGCCTTATTTGGTCTCCACCATGCTGATTCCTGTTGTAGCTGTGTGAAGACTGCGAAGGGTAGGCGCTTTATTTCATTCTTCCGGTGGGGGATTAGTTTCCCTATCCTGAGGTGGACCAGGACCCTCGGGCTTTCCAGCTGGGCCTGGTCTATATTTATTGCCTTGTTAGGCCCAGGAGGGTACGAGTCCCAGTAGGAAGTGTTAAAATGTCCTACTGAAGGTTCATAGGGCAGAAGAGACTGGTGGTTGGAGTGGGGATGGAGTATTCCCCTGAAGTCACTTTATAAATCCCTTTGTGTGCTCTCCTCCTTGCATAGGACTTTCAGTCCAGAATAGGCCTTGCTGTTCTAAGATGGCTGAAGCCCCAAGGGAAACCAGAGCTTCCAAAGCTGGCTCCTGCTGCTTCTACCAAAGGAAAGTAGCCTGTGAAGAAGGCCTCAACAGCGGAGGAGAAGGATGCTTCTATGGTGCCATCAGGCCATAGAGAAGCAGATAGCCAAGGTGCATCAAGCCTCTACTTGCATGCCTGTAGAGCTACTTCTCCAGCATCACTCATCAGTGAAGTGGATTTGGAGGAACCTAGACCTTCTAGACACGGCATCCAGACTTGGTCCCCTGATATGTCCAGGAGAGGCGCTTCTCCCATTCCCTCTGAAGGAGGCAGTCAGCTTGATGATCTTCAGGACGAAGCTGTACCTTGACGAGAGCATGGGTGCAGTAGACGGGGTGGAATCTTCCTTTCCTTCTACTGCTGCTGGCCTCAGCACAGCTGAACCTTCTGACCCAGATGTCCCTGTCAAATCTGCAGATCCTCATCAACAGAGCCATCTGGAAGGGCATTTCAGAAAGTTTGCAGAGAGCGACCCGACATTCTTCTGCAGCTTCTGTTTTATCAGAGGGAAGGTTTTGGGTTCGAGATGCTCTCTTGTCAGAAAGAGGTTCCTTTCTCCAGGATCCAGTTTCTGGGTTGGCTGAGAACTACGCTCCTGCTACCTCAGTGGCTCCATCACTGGTGGGGGAACCTGACAAGCCAGAACCTGACATGTCAGCAGATGAAGGCACTTCCCATGAGGTTCCTGTATTCACAGGTTGTTTCAAACACACCTTGTTTAGTCCCTTGTTGTCCAAGGCGAAGAACACCGCCAATCTCAAGGGCACAGATGATGAGGTAGCTGCCTCACTTCCTCCTGAGGAGTCAGATGTTCTGTTCGACGAACCGGAAGTGAGGAAGGAAGTGGTTCCATCTTCCAAACTGTTTCTGAAGGTGATCAGGAAACAGCTGGAATCTCCTGCCTCAGGGCGCAGTCCTCTGGCCTCCGACTGCAGGTTCTTTAACATGGGACCTGAACTTACCAAAACACTCCAGGTTCCCATGGTAGATACTCCTGTAGCAGCTTTGGCCTCCTCCTCGTCTGCTCCATCTGATCCAGAGGAAGTCCTCAAGGCAGAGGAGAAATGAGTTGAACAATAGCTACAGAGATCTCATCTGGTGTCTGCCTGGTTAGTCAAGGCATCTACTGCAGCGTCGTTCTTCACTAGGACGTCGCTCAAGTGGCTTAAGCAGCTGTGGGATAGAATTCCCACATCGGATGTCCGAGCCCACCAGAATATCAATAAGATCATGGCTGCAGAATTCACAGCTGATGCCACCCTTCATAGTGCTAGATTCGCCACAAAAGCCATTGCTTCCTTGGTGGCGGCCAGGCACATGTGCTGGCTATGCAACTGGCAAGCTGATGGCAGACAAAAATGGAAGTTGGCGTCTGCCCTGGTCCAAGGGAATAAGCTCTTTGGTGAGGTCCTTGAGCCCCTTTTAGTCGAAACAAAAGATAAGCAGAAAATTCTTCCTTCGCTTCTCAAGAGGGCTGAGCATTGGGCCGCTCCTTACTTCAAATGTCCTCAGTTCAGAGGGGAATCCAGTTCCAGTTTCCACCGGCCGTCCAAGTCCACTTACCAACACCAGGAACCTCCTCCTGCTTGTTCAGGCAAGGGCAGGCAGCAGTTTACTGCAAAACGGCCCTTTTGAGGAGGAGGAAGTTGCTCATACCGTCGCCAGTGGTAGTGCACAGTCTATTCCCATTGGTGGCCAATTGGAATGGTTTGCGGACCAATGGGAGGGTATTACTTCTGACGCCTGGGTTTTGTCCACTGTTAGATCAGGTCTTTCACTGGAACTCTACTTCACTCCTCCGAGGTTCTTTATCTCCTACCCAGTATCTAGGGATGCTGGGAGACGGAGTCTGATGGAGTCGGCCATCCAGCATTTACTGGATCTCAAGGTCATTCAGGAGGTTCCCCTAGATTCTACTCTAGAATTTTCATTATTCCCAGGGCGGGGGGGGGTGGGGGGGGTGGAGGACAATGCTTGACCTGAAACGACTCAATAAATATGTTGTGTACAGGCGTTTTAAGATGCACTCTCTTTCTTCCATCTTGAAAAGCATTCAGAGGGGGACTTCTTCACATCCATAGACTTGATGGAAGCCTATTTGCATGTTCCCATTTGTCCTCTCATAGAAAGTTTCTTTGACTTTGTTACCAGGGGCGCCATTTCCAATACAGGGCCCTTCCCTTTGAGTTATCTTCTGCCCCTAGAGTTTTTACCAAAGTTCTGGCTCCCCTAGCAGCGCACCTTGGTTCCTTCCTGGTGCGTTTACAGTGTTATTTGGATGACATTTTAATTATGTCTTCTTTCAGAAGGCTCAGCAGGATCTGCAGGTCACTATGTCCGTTCTGCAGGACCTGGGGTTTTCCATTAATAGGAAAAAGAGCCATTTCTCTCCTTCTAATCATCTTCATTTGGGAGCCATCATTGACACTAGATTGTGTCAAGTTTTCCTATCACAGGAGAGACTGGACAGCCTGCAGGGGATGATTAGGGGCATCCAGAGTAAGAGTTCTGTTCCTTTGGCCCTTCTATCTCAACTTTTGGGTAAAATCGTTTCCTGTATTGGCATTGTTCCCTTCATGCCAGATCCCTGCAGTGGTTCTTGTTACCTCACCAGAGGGCGGGGTCG